TCTCGTATGTGCTTTTAATCATTGGGATAATTTATTTGTTTAATTAAGCATTGTTTGATATGTATCGTGCTGTTTGATGTTTATCGACCAAATTGAAAAAGCGCTGAAATTTCTCATCAGGGAATATGAATTAAATTTCAAAAGGAAAAAAGAATTTTATTTTAGCTAAGTACGGTGATCACTTAATTACATTTGGGATCTTCAAAAATTATCCGTAAAGCTTCTTCATTTAATAATCTGGGTTTCTTTGAACACTTTCACATCATTAATAATTTTTCTAGTTTACTTAATGATATTAATTTTCCAATAATAATTCCTCTTCCAAATGCTTACAAATTTCTAATACCTTTATGTTTGATTACTATTTTACTCAATACATCATGTTACATTCTTTCCCTTTTTCGCTCCTCCCACTAATGAAATTTCCTTTCCCTGTCATGAAAAATCTGAATAATGCAATACAAATTATTGTTATTCTTGAATTATATTTTTTTATAGAAACATGGTTGAGAAGGGTTAGTTTCGAAATATATATTGTTATTAGAAACAATTAAAAAAAGTGAATTTTTAAGACAAGCACAGGTATAAATTATTGACCTGTATAATGGGCTGTTCATTCCACCACATTTGAGATAAAAATTCTGTAACATTTTATTGACCATGCCTCTTGCTGAAAGTACTTACTTAAGTTAATGTTTATAGCACTAAACTGGTGATTATGTTTAATTTAGAAGTAAAATATTCTTGAAGGTTTTATTTCATTCATAACTGAATACATTTCTGCACAAACTACATTTTCACTCTTCATATATCGAAAACATTGCTGATATGAAATTCTGGATGTGGGAAAATCTTGGAAGAGAAATCGGAGGAATGTGCAGAAGGAGGGGCACCAAGCAGGGCGGAGCAATGCGAGACATCCTGAAAGGTCACCGTAATGTGGTGCAATCTATCGATGCTAGATTTAACTAGATCAGTCATGTAACTAGATAATATTATGTACTCTGTTTTGAAAGTTGTGATGTGTAATTTTCAATATAATATGTTATATTGTTTTATGTTTTGCTTATAAAATGGGACCTTGTTATTTTGGCTTGCTTAGCGGCGATTTTTGTGCCAAAAATGCAAGCCAAAATAACAAGTCAAAGAATTGCACAAACTCGGTCGGTATCCATGTACACATCGACCTATTTTCACTGGAAAAAAAAAAAAAAAAATCCCATAATTGCACAAAAATGGCATTGCACACTCCCTTGACTTTATCCATGTACACATCGACCTATTTTTCACTTAAAAAAAATCAGAGAATTGCACAAACTATGCCTTACGCACTCCCTGGAGTTTGTTCATGTACACATCGATATATTTTCACTTAAAAGGTCAAAGGAGCACGCAATTCTACAGTAGAGGCAAACAAAAAATACAAAATCTCAGTAAACTACATTTTAAACCAAACAATAAAATAACATCAAAAAGGAAAAACATTTTATGCATTTAAGCACTACACAAAGCAAATATCCACATATTTAGAAATTCGTTCATCTTCAGTCTGTGGCACGCAAAATTCCTTAACAGCGTCTAAAAACTTCCTAAAATTATCTGAACTAGAATCCGTGTATCAACATTGCCACGTAAATTCACAAAAATAAGAGTCAAAAGTATACTACATAGTGCCGGACTGTCCAGAAAATGCAACCTTCATTTATAACCTTCATTTATACATTAAGTAAACCTTCATTTATACACCAGTCAATTAATGCACTTTTCCCCTTTCGTTCCAAATCGTACAGAAACTTCAAATTAATCTTACTACATTCAGCTATTGTACCGTCTAAACAATGATCAAGCAATGTACTTCCTAAGCAATACACACCACAAAAGCCCTTGCAAAACATCCCATGATTCAAAATTTCCCGGAATAATGCAAATGATTAGATCATAATAGGGTTTCCGTAACATTTAAACATCCGTTTTAGCTACATGGTACTCAGCATACATGGTAAACGGATGTTTTAGATGTACTTCCGTAACATCTAAAACATCCGTTTTAGCTACATGGTACTCAGGTTGCCATAAATGATACAACAACGTCGCAATAAAGGAAACAACAACTTGGCGATAAATGAAACAACTACATCGCGATAATACAAAGGGTACCCTAAAGTCAACTCTAACCCTTTCTCAATATCTGTTAAAGTTGTATAAATTTTCATTTCACTTTTCATTAATTTTAATTTTTTCCTCTTTAATTCCTTCTCTTTCTTATTTTTGTTTTAGCTACATGGTAATAGGGAAATTTTTGGTGCCTATTTTTCTGAATGGATTTATAAAGTTCTAGCCTAAAAAGGCAATATTCATTGGAAGAGACTGGTTATATATTAAGTAAAACGGTCATTCTATTTCTGTTAGGCCCAGCAGTTGCCGAAAGGTAAAGTTATTGAACATTGGCAGTTCGGTCCGAATTTCAAATCCCGTGAACGGACAGGCTGCATGGGTGTTTTCGTGATTTTCCCAATTATACAAGGCAGTTTTCCTTAGAAAGTCCTCCTCTTAGGCAGATAGCCCTCTGGCTTTGCTGTAATTACATAAACCAAACCTACTTCTGTTAGCTGGCCGCAGACCACAAGGTACGAATTCTTGTGCCCGAGCCTGCTATCCAAGATTAATAAATATGCGATGCCTAACCTGTAAATAGCATTCTGAGGTTGTAAATGGCATTTTAGATAAAAAAGTAGTTCCAGTGTGGCGTGAAGTAGGGCGAATCACGCTACTTCCTGACAGGGAAAGGAAATTTCATTAGTGGGAGGAGCGAAACGACTTTATACAGGAATGAATGCAGTGTGATGTGTTGAGCAAAGTAGTAATGAAATGTAAAAGTATTAGAAATCTAAAAGTATTGGGAAGAGCAAGACTCATTGTCGGCTTAATGTCATGTCGGCTAACTGTCCTTGTCAGCGAAGTGTCCCTGTCAGCTAAATGTCTTGTCGGCTAACTGGTGTCGGTTAAGTGTCCGTGACCATTACCTAATAGCTTTCATTGATTGACAAGTAAAATCTCCAAGGCAACACACAAAGATGTTCCTGATTGAAGGGGAAAAAAAAAAAATGAGTCATAAAATTTGATGCAGTTCATAGTAAAAGATTGCTGTCACTGTATACTTGTGCTCATTTTGGCTCTGCTCTATCATTGATGCAGTGATTACCATTGTTGAGCAGTGTTGCTCATGCTGGCTGTGTTTTAAAGAGTACATTGTATTTTATAAGGTTTTCAATTAAATAGGACAGGACATTTCTAAATCCGGTTCTAGCCAAGAGACACCAGGAAAAAAAAAAAAAAAAAAAACTTTGAAAGTTTGTATTAAATGATAAAAATCTAACCATGCAACGGACTAGAAAACATTTCATTATTTATGTTAACTGAAATTTGCATGAACTGATAAAATTTCCTATAACACCATCATATACATCATTGCCGTGATTGGAATTTTGTTCATGTTAACCAAGTGTTCTCCTAAAGTGAGTTCGCGTAACCCCTTTACACAATTTAAATACAGTAAAACCCCCTGTTTTACTGTATTTAAATTGTGCTCTAAATGAAGTTGTTTGATTAGTATGAATTTAACACAAGCCACCAAGATGTGCAAGGAAAATTATCCAGGAATCATCTGATTATTATCCATTTCATAGATGATAACTCTTCCAGTTTTTCATTGTATCTTCAGGTACCCTGATAGGTAACAGAATCTCCTGGTTTTTAATATGTAGCCTTTACTAAGGAAAATGTTCCCTGAAGTAATGAAACTTCTTCCACCCCTAATGATTTTCAATGTAAATTTCTTGTTAATTTTATTTGATTTTTTAACTGTCATAATTTGTAGGAAATAGCAGAAATTTTATGAAGATTTAACCAATGTTTAATCATTTAGTGTTTGTATTTAATTTTCTTTTGCATCATTATATGGGGCTTTATTGGATTTACTTCACAGTAGTATTTGCTTCACAGTATTAATTATTAATATTTACTTTTAATTATATTTAAAAGTATTGTAATGAATAAAAGCGATTCTATTCAGAATTTTTTCTGTATAAAAGTGCAAGAAAATTATTAAATTAGTTGAAGAGCATAAAGTTTTAAATATCTTTTTACATCAGACTCATTAGAAATAGTTCAGTAATCTAAATCATAAACTGTGAAGTGAATTTAAATCAATTTAGAATTCTTTTGAAATGGCGCTGTCATGCATGTGGAAACATCATGAAAACTAATTCCCCCCCCCCCCATATTTTAGTGTGAGCAACTATGTCATTTCATCCTTTGTACAAAACCTTATGAAAAGTTGTGGTGTTTTACTTAATGGTTATGGTGATATTTTAATAATTACAAAAATCAAAGGTAGATATTCTTGCTAAAAGAAGGTGTTTAAGAGCCGGTCCCCCTAAGCATACAGGATTATAAACTCTCCATGAAATTTTGGAACTTATAGAGGGGTAACTACTCTCAAAATTGCACCTTTGGGATAAATTAATACAAAATAATCCACATTAATAAGCTTACTTTGCACAATAATAATAACACTGGAGTCCCAAATTTATGCCTTATTTAGATGTGCTTTAGTTAGTTTGTGTTTTAATGGGAAGAGTTTATGATAGAACATATTTTTTTCAATAGTCTTTTATTTGTGATTTTTAAGTGAAGAATATTATTTGTTTTAAATCAGTTAATATTTGAAAGCTTTGCAAGAAGGAAAACAATTATGTTTCAGAATTAAAATTCCAGTGAAAGCAAATGCAGATCTGTGTTTGCTATTTTATTATTACTAAGGCATTCAAATTACAAACTTTTAATATATCATGAGCAGTAATTTTAATAAGTCACTGTCACATGTAAACTTAATTTACTGTATTTACTTTTACATGTAAACTTAATACTGTCACATGTAATGTTAATTTTTAATGATGATTGTATGATGTAAATGAATCGTATATTTATTAAAAATTTAGGTATGGATTGAAAAAGTATGGCGAACAATTCCTACAGCAGATAAAGTAATCTTGGAGCCCATATTATCTGATGATTCGCAAATATTGGTATGGCTAATATTAGGCCCTTTTCAAATTATATATATATTTTTTTTCTTTTATTGTTATGTTTAGTTTTTATCTATTTTTTTTTTTCAGGAACATGTTTTGTAAATGCTAAAGCAAAATTTAGTTTGTAAGTTTAGTTTTTGCTTTTTGTGATTTTTTAAAATAGAAGTATTTTTGGCAGTAAAATACTCTTTGAGCAGTATTTAAGAAAAAAAGTACATAAAAATAAATCTGAAAGCTTTCAAATTTTATATTATGCCCGAACGGGCATTTTTTAAAAATGTTTTGTGTGTTACCTTTATTTATTAAATATCATGTTGTTTGCACTTAAACCATAAAATTCAATTCAGCATTATCATAAAATATTTAAAAGAGCATATCTTTAGAATTTCCGATACACAGTCTTGCGCATTAGAGATAATGTCCCCCCCCCATACAGTGTTGCCATTTCTCGCTTTGAAATCGTTGAGTTTCTTAACCCTCTGACCGTTGTGAGCGGCTTTATCCAGTCACCATAAGTTTTGATACTTATCATATATTAGCTTATAATTTAAGATATTTTGCTTTCTAACGGTCTTTAATAATGGAAATATCATTTTAATGAATGTATGTTTATGAAAATACAGACTAAAATAAGTAATTTAGAAACTCAATTAATAAATGCTGTTTAAATACCGGTCTTCATGACAGATCTAAAATCCTGCACCGCTCAGAGGGTTAATCAGAAACTCATAAATTCATTACAAAATATGTAATAGATAATAAAAGCAATTCCAAATTTAAAAAAAAAAATTGAACTTCGTTTGATTTTTTTTGTTGTGCATTTTTCTTTTTTCTTTTTTTCTATTAATGATTAAATTGAATATCGTTAGTTAAGTTTGTTAAGTTGAAAATATTTTAACAAATTTAGTTCATATATTAGTTGTAATATTTATTATTTGATACATGTTGTGTATAACCCGTTTTGTAATTGAAGTGTTTGACTAATTGGTATTTTTAATATTTTTATAGAATAGTGATTTATGTACTTGATTGTGTGTATAACTGAGTTAGATGAACTCTTGTCAGAGTTCAGGTGGGAAGTGTGTTAAGGAATACTCTTTGATATCGCCAAGAGATGGCATTAGATGTCCATCTATTGGCTTACTTAACCTTTCCCTTCTGAACACGTAACTTGAAATTTTATTCTTCTCAAAGGTAGAATTCGGTGCACTATGCAGTATAATTCGATTTAGATTCTTTGATGGAACTATTCAGTTCTTGCTTTTTGAGCCTTAATATTCGATTCAGGCATTTTAGCCTACATTGTATATATGTAAATATTAAGTTTAATTAAAATTTATGTAAAACCCTCCAGGCCATGCATCTCATTTTGGATTATGAGTGATTCGACTTTGATCTAGAATCTTCGTTACACTTGCAAGCAGCATATTGTTTATCCAGCGTTTTCTTCTAACGAATGTTTTCATATGTACTGTGCTTTTTTACACTTTTTTCTCTTTTGCCGTTTTTAATTTTTTAATGATCTGCTCACTATATAAAAGCAGAATCGAATGTATTTCCTCTTAAAAATTGTTAGCATTTTATTGAAAGCTGAGTTTTTTAACTGAACAGATGCTTAAAAAATGATAAAAGTTTATACTACCAGTTTGAACACTTCTTTCAGATTTTGTTGAAATTTGTTAAAAATTCATTGACATTTGTGGAAAATTCATGATTTTCATTCTGTATTATTGCTAATTAAAATGCTTTTTTGAAGTCATGAAATGGTTCTGCCTGTTTCTGAGTGATTGAGACTGTTGAATATAGGTAGTTTGAACTCAGGTGAACAGGTTAACTCCATGGCTGATTTTCATGGTAGCATGAATGTAAGCTAGTTTTTAAGGCCTCCATAAAGGCATAGCTTCCCTTAGGTAAATAGCCTCATATGTTTTGCCATAACTGAATAACCTAATTTAACTACGTGTGGTCAATAACCCTATGTAGCCTAATTTAACCATGTAACTAAGTAATGAAAATGTAATCATTCTCCTGTTATAGTACTGTTGTTTATAATTGACTTAGATTAGAAGTTAAAGTTAGTTTTAAGTATATTATTTTAAAAGCATTTTATATAAGGCATTTCATAAAAAAATGAAAGTAAAATCACAAAATGTCGAGAAATGTATGCACAGCAAAAAAATGGGTATGCAATCTATCACATTTGGCATCTCTAAATTTTTTGTAGTTTCAATCATTTCTTTTTCCCGCCATTTTATTGCTAATTTAAATATGAAAGCTATTGAATTGTATTTATGATTATTCTGTTTTGTTTTATTATTGTAGAATTATGAAGCTTTTGAAATTTAAATTCAGTGGAATAAAAAATTGAATGGATTATTAATGGAATAATTTTCATTTATGTATTTTTAATTGCGCACAGCTCTTTTAGATCACTCTGGATTTAGTTTTATGTAATTCGAAAGAATTTAAATTCAATAGAAATAAAAATTTAGGTAAAATATATTTACAGGTGCCCTGTGGCAAAAATTGGCGATTTTTGGTGGTACATGGATACCGAGCTTGTGCAATTCTTTGACTTGTTATTTTGGCTTTGTGTAGTGGCGATTTTTGCACCAAAAATCACCAACAAGACAAAGAATTGCACAAACTTGGTATAAGACAAAATAACAAGGAATTGCACAAACTTAGTACAAGACAAAATACTAAAGAATTGCACAAATTCAATATCCATGTACACATCAACCTATTTTCACTTAAAAAAAACTCAGAGAATTGCACAAACTTGCCATTGCGCACTCCCTTGACTTTATCCATGCACACATTAACCTATTTTCACTTAAAGAAAATCATTAGAGAATTGCAGAAACTTGGCATTGTGCACTCCCATGACTTTGTCCATGTACACATTGATTTATTTTTACAAAAGAAGTCAAAGGCACACCCAATTCTACAGTTGAGCCAAACAAAAAATACATAATCTGAATAAACTACATTTTAAATCGAACAATAAAATATCATAAAAAAGGAAATTCATCTTATGCATCTAAGCACTACACAAAGCAAATATCCACTTACCTTTTTTAGAAATTTGAGTTCTTCAGTCTGTGGCAGACAAAATTCCTTAACAGCATCCAAAAACTTCCTAAAATTATTTGAACTAAAATCCGTATATCGGCATCGCCACATAAATTCACAAAAATAAGAGTGAAAAATATCCTCTGTGGTGCCGATATGCTTCGACGTTCAACTGTACGCATCCTTCAAGTAATCCTTCATTTACACACCAGTCAATTAATGTGCTTTTCTTTCCCCTTTCGTTTCAAATCGTACAAAAACTTCAAATTAATCTTGCCACATTCAGCCATTCTACCGTCTAAGTCACAAAACAAGCAATGTACTTCCTAACCAAAACACACCACAAACCATTACAAATCTTCTTCCCATCATTCAAAATTTATGACAGCTGATTACATCATAATAGGGTTTCCATGACATTCAACTGCTCAGGTTATCATAAATGAAATGACAACTTGGCGATAATACAAGGGGCATCCTTCAATCTACTCTAACCAAAATTTAATATAATAAATATAATATATTTATTACTATTAATTAATAATAAAAATTAATAGTAAATTATTAGGATCATTTTCAGTTATGTATTCTTAATTATTTGTGTTCATATTTAAAAACAGTATTTTTTAGTGGCATGTAAGAAATAACTAACTGACTAAAAGTAATAGATATAAAAGAATTAGTGCACATCCTATAAAATACTTTCAACTATTCTTTTTAACAAGCATATGTTGATAGTGCGATAATCAATTATCAGTGCAGCTAATTTTCAACCTAAGGCTGATTTTTGAAAAATAATGAATATGTAATCGAAACACACAATCTTTTTATTGATTTCAGAACTGTGTATGATTACATTAATAGGGAGTTTCTTATCGAAGCGATGCATGAACTAAATATTGCACAAAAACTTGTTGCACTGGTGCTTTGACTCTTAAGGAAACAAAGATACAAATTTGTGTATAAGGTGGTCTTAATGGAATTTGAGGTCAAGAATGGAGTGAGACAGGGGGCTGCATTAGCATACCTCCTGTTTATAACTGAACTCAAAAAAGTTATTAGAGATTCTAGGATCGGTGCTAGAGGAAAAAATTTTTAGAAGACTATTCAGTTACTGACTTAATGTACATGATATTTGCACTTTTGCTCGTACTGTTCCTGCTTTTAAACAGGCATTCATGGCATTGGAAAAAGTGCAAAAAGATTTAACCTTTCTGTTAACGAAAATAAAACAAAATATATGACTTGTTTAAAATATGATTTATTGCTTAGTTATTTAGAAGTTAGTAGCTATATGTTTGCAAAAGTCTACAGTTTCACTTATCTGGGAGCAGGGATGAATTGTAAAAATGGATAACTTTTGAAATACTTGAAAGAATCTCTGCTGCAAATAGATGTTTTCATGCCCTGAAAAGCTGTTTAAAATCCAGCTTTCTCAAGTTAAGAATTAAATTGCTTTTTTAAAAGAGTTATATAAGATCTGTTTTGACTTGTGCATCGGAAGCTAGGGCACTGACCATACATAATGCAGAAGCTTTGGGGGATTTTTGAGAGAAGATTATTGCATTGCATTCTTGTTGGAGTCCGTGTGAATGGATCATGGAGAAGATGTTCTAATTTAGAGTTATAAAAGATCTATAGGAATACCTGATATAGTAAAATTCTTCAAACTACAGGAACTTAAATGGGCTGATCATCTGACCAGAATGCATGAAGATCAGTGTTGTAAGAAAGTCCTTCTAGCATGGCCCATGGGAACCAGACCTCAGGGTAGACCCCCCGGTGAAATGAATCGATTGTGTTGAAAATGACCTGAACATTCTAAAGGTCAAAAACTGGAAAATAGTTGTCAAAAGCAGAGATGTCTGGAGAAGGCTAGTCCCACCCTGGGCTGTCGAGCCATTGAAGAAGAAGAGTAGTAA